GCCGCGTGGGGCCCTGGCTGGCGGCGCCCAGGCGCCCCTGCCTGCCCGACCCGCGGCCAGTATCCGAGCGGCCAGCCAGAGTCCAGGCAGGAGACAAAGCAACGGACGCCCACGGGCTGTGAACTCCCAGCCCCGAGTTCTGGCTACAGGGCGCTGAAGTGCCCCGGGTCTGAAAGCTAAAATGTTTCCACATGGAAAATATCCCACAGCTCTTCTGCTCGTGGACTTGGTGGGTTTTGATTATCTGCACGATGGAGCAACAGCGAGTGTTTGCCTCACGAGTCCTGCTTGGAGCGAGCCCCCGTGGGCCGGCCTGGCCTCGCTGTCCCTGCTCGTGTGGGAAACGGCTGCACCGGGTTTCGCAGGCCAGTGACTTCCCAGCCTCCCGCATAACTCACGTCGAAGGCAGGAAGTCCGCGAGCCACGGACAGCCGAAGTCCGGTGTGACCAACACACCCCGCGGCCGGCGGCGCTGCCTCTCGGGCCGGGCCGCGTCTCCTCGCGGTGGCCCCGTCCTTCGGCCGAGCGGAACCGCGGCCTGCTGGGCAGGGCAGCCGAGGGGCTGGGCAGGGAGAACCGCCTGGGCTGAGGGGTGGGGAGGGGCAGGCGCCCCGGGGAGGCTCTGGAGCAAGGAAGGAGGCCGCGTGGCTGCTGCGTCTGAGTGGAGCGTTTGGCGCCATGACCTTCCCCAGCAGCCTCCGAAGCCGCCAGCCCACAGCGCTGTGACAAGCCGGGCCTCCGGGTCTGTCGGTCACCACAGACACAGACACAGTCTCTGGTCTTATCTCCTCGCAGTGAGCATCGTTTTCTGTGCTAACAGATTTTCCTTTCCCTGTCCACGTCCTGTTCTTCCCTTCTCCCTCCAGCTCACCTTAGCCCCAGAAAGCTCACCTGGGCCCCAGGAAGCTCACCTGGACACTAGAAAGCTCGTCCGCACCCCGGAAAGCTCACCCGGGCCCCAGGAAGCTCACCTGCGCCCCAGAAAGCTCACCCGGGCCCCAGGGAGCTCACCTGCGCCCCAGAAAGCTCACCCGGGCCCCAGGGAGCTCACCTGCGCCCCAGAAAGCTCACCCGGGCCCCAGAAAGCTCACCTGTTCCCCAGGAAGCTCACCTGGACACTAGAAAGCTCACCTGCACTCCAGAAAGCTCACCTGGGCCCCAGGGAGCTCACCTGCACCCCAGAAAGCTCACCCGGGCCCCAGGGAGCTCACCTGCGCCCCAGAAAGCTCACCCGGGCCCCAGGGAGCTCACCTGTGCCCCAGAAAGCTCACCCGGGCCCCAGGGAGCTCACCTGCACCCAAGAAAGCGCACCTGGGCCCCAGGGAGCTCACCCCAGGAAGCTCACCTGCACCCCAGAAAGCTCACCTGGGCCCTAGGGAGCTCACCTGCACCCCAGAAAGCTCACCTGGGCCCCAGGGAGCTCACCTGCGCCCCAAAAAGCTCACCCGGGCCCCAGGGAGCTCACCTGCACCCCAGAAAGCTCACCTGGGCACCTGTGCCTGCTGGTCTTGGGGACTTTGCTTACCCGTGCACCCAGGTGACTTTGCCGTATTTCGGCGGCCCTGCACCCCGTCTGCAGAGAAGCTGCTCTGCGGCACCCCCTCAGCGCGGCGGGGCGCTGCGGGAGCCAGGCAGCTGCCCCGTTCTTGCGATGTGCGGGGCTCTCGGGTGTGCCGGCGCCTTCTCGGCCCCCGCCCCTCCGGCCTTTCCTACCCACGGTGTGCTTATGTTTTTACCCAAGAGCGTTTCTCTCTGCCGAAGAGAACAGCCCAGACGGTTATTTACTGGTTTCGATACTCTCTGGAGCAATCTCGTGTACTGTGTGGTGCGAATTCAAGTTTCCCAGAAATGCCACGGATTACGCAACCTCGGGGAAATCTTCCCTTTTATTTCTTTGAAACGTACTCTGTCCTTCCTTGGGCCCAAAGTATCTGTCCAAAGCCGCTTTGGCTCCCGAGCACAGCCAGCAGGGACTCGGTTCAGCCCGGCCACTGGCCTCCGCGTGGGGTCTGTCCTTTCCCAGGCGGAGTGTCCAGTATGTGACAGTCAGGGCCCCGTGACCCGACCCGCGTCCCCTCTGCCCCGTCAGCAGGGCGGTCTCTCTCTATGCCCCGAAACGCTGTGGTGTTTTAAATGCCACGAGCCACTGTTTAGTGCCAGCTTTTAGCAGTGGACCCTCTCGAGAAGGACACGATTTGACCGTCCATGTGCTTGGAGACCTGGACAGCAGCGGCTCTAGGCAACTTGCTTCCTCTGCCGGCGACGCGCCCCACGGCCGAGCCCAGAGCTGTTTCTGCAGCTCAGCAGCATGTAGCTTTGCGACAGCTGCAGTTCAGGTTGAAGCTGTCTCAGACGTCCGAGGCAGGAATTTTCAGAGCGGGACGCAGTGTTCTGCTCACAAGTGTCATTGTCAGTGTCGTTGTCTCGGAAGAGCGGGCTTGTGGTCTTCTATCTCGGTCATCGTCACGCCCTCATGATTTTCAGGCCACGTAACCGAGGTCTCTGTCTGCTTTTCAGTCACCCAGGACTGCCTGCAGCTGATCGCAGACAGCGGCACGCCCACCATCCGCAAAGGTAAGGGCCCCGCCCCGCCCCGCCCCCCACCGCACCTGCTAAGATGTGAACGCTCTGCAAATCAAAATAAACAGCCCCAGTAATCGTCCCCCTTGAATTCAGTCGGGGCCTCCCCGGGGGTGCAGGGTTTGAAGCGCAGCACTAGGAGGCTGTCCGCAGTCGCGGCAGCCGGGCCCCATCCCGGCCGGGAGGGACCCCAGGGCGCAGCCCCCGCCTGTCATCCCGCTGTCCCTCAGCCGTGCGTTTAGGTCAGTCCGCCTGCTCTGCTCCCCACTCCGTCTCGCGAAGGCGCTCGTCGCCCCCTCCTCTGGCCTGCACCTCAGTCCTCGCGTGCATGAATGAATGAATCTTCAGAAAAAGAATTCAGTAAGAAGCATCACTTTGAGGTTTCGGGCCCACAGATTATATTCAAACTTGATTTCAAATCAGTTGTCTGTCTGGATTATCTTGTAAATAGATGTAATACAGTAAATGGCTTCAAAATGATGGCGGGGAAGTGGGCAGATGGGACATCTGGCCAGTAGAATCACCTTAGCAGTGCTGATGGCTGGAGGCGTTCGCTGACCAGCATGCAGCAAAGCAAAGTCAGCTCAACTTATTAAAAGCCAACTCAATGTATTGTCACGGCGCAGTCTCTGCTTCTGCAGTGGCTCGAGAGGAACTTCACAACGTGGATTCTCCTGTTACATCAGGTTGCAAAAATAATTGAATGAGGAGAAAAACTAAGCGTTTCTATCCTAAACATGATGTTAAAATAGCACCAGTATCTAATGAATTAATGTAAACAGACATATGTTTACATATAAATAATCAGCATTTCTGTGAGAAATTCCAACCTCCAGTGGCTCCTGCATCAACAGTGGTGGCAAGCAGGCGGCCTCCCAGCCCCGGCCAGGCCTGGCCCTTTGGACTGAAGAAAATCTGCGTGGTTCCCACTTCCAGGGGGCTTACCTTGTGGTGAGGGGAAGCCAGCCCAGCAATAACCCCCCCAGTGGGCAAGTGAAAATCAGAGTGCTGGGGAGGGAATTAAGCGGGCGGGGGCGGGAATGTGGGTGCTGGGAACTAGGAGGGAGTTGAGAGGCGCTGGAGTCGGGAGAGGGGCCAGGAGCCAGGTCCTGGAACCCAGATAAAGGCGCTGAATCAGGCTTCCCGGGGGCCTGCACAGGGTGACCCTGGAGAGCTGTCTTGCAGCTATAATTTTCTGTGTGGTTTTAATGTTGCTAACTGTAGCACGCACACGAAATGATTTCAAATCTTGATTTATGGCTCTGTTCTTCCAAAGTCTTGTTTTTGTAACTTTTAATGGGCCGCAGCTCTTTCCTAGGAATCAACCCAAAACCAAAAAAGCCCCTAAAGACCAAAGATGAAATTAAAAAGATGGGACTTGGAAGAGGCTTGCTTGACGCATTTGGCCAGAAACACGGACTCAGTGTGTCACAAGAGGATGCGTGCTTCCCCAGAGTGGGGCTGAGCACAGGGCGAGCCCCGAGGGCCAGCTCCCCGCCCCCAGGGCGCTGTCCCGGGTGTGGGCACCGGACCAGGATTCACGGGGAGCCGCTTGGCAATGCCAGCGCGCATGCGTCGCGGGGAGCAGCGCTCGGCTGCACCCGGGCCCCTAAGAAACCTGCTGGGGAGGGGGTCGTGGTGCCGCGCCCCGGGCTGAAACCGTGGGCTTGCGGGACGGGCTGCTTTCGTTTGCTCTTCTACACGCCTCGGCACTGCGCTCTTGGGCTTTTCTCCAGCAAAGGCGGAGAAGGCGCAGATGGACCCCACAAATTAAAAACAACAGAGCCGGCGGCGGCTGAAAAGTCGCGTCTCTCCTATTCTTTTCTCTGTTTGGAATTTGGATGTAATTACTGAAAAGGTAATAATACACCTCGGTATCGCAGACGAATTGAACAAGCGCATTAAGGGTGAGTTCCAATCGTTGCTCCCTTCCAGCCTGTCCCACCCAGCCTCACCTGCCAAGTTATCGCTTCACGTAGCCTTCAAGACTTGCTGCAAACCCAAATGACAATGCAGCTCTGGCTTCCCACGCAAGCAGACGAGCCATACTGAGGTGGAGGCGATCTGGGCTCACTACCATAAACTTTTCTCAGTCAGCAACGCATATTGTTGTTGAATATTGCCTACCAAAATATTGGTGTTATTTTGTCTTTGAACAGAGTTCCTTCTTATTTAAAAAAAGTTGCCTGGGTCCTCCCTGGTGGTGCAGCGGGTTAAAGCGCAGCACTGTGAAGCTGGCCGCAGCCCCTGCAGCACAAGTTCAAGCCCCAGCCAGGGAGTGACTGACCCCCATGGCGCCGCAGACCTCTCCTGTCTCCCTGCTGCTCCCCTCAGCAGTGTCCTTCATCCATCTGCCTGTTCTGCTCCCCGCTCTGTCTCTGGTGAAGCCTCTCACAGCCCCTGTACCCCAATCTGTATGCATAAATAGATAAATTTTTAACAAAAAAAGTAATGTCTGTGCAGTCTTCACGTGGTAAGCAGGTTAACCATAGTGGATGGACAGTCCCCTCCTCCCATGCTGTCAGTTCGCTTTGTCATTTTATTTACAGCTTATTTGTTGTTGCTAAATTCTATTATGTTTTCAGTCTTCTGGATTTTGAGGTATGATTAGAAAGGGTTCTAAATTTCAAAGGTTTTTAGAAATCCTATCCCAACTTTATGGCTTCATTTTACATTTAAATATTTTGTCTATTTTCAGTTATTCTGGTTTTAAAAAAAAAGTGAGGTATCCAACCAACTTAATTTTTTCCATACACAATTATTTTCAGAAACCCAGAAATTTCTGAACATTTCATATTTCCCCCACTGCTTGGAGATGTTCACTTTAACATATTCCAGTAGTTGAGGCATTTTATATTCCCTTCTGTTCTATCATATTGATGTCTGATAAAGTATCACCTCTAACCAGCCCCTGATAACCATTTCCTCCAACTCTCAGCCCCTGGTAGCCAGAATCACTTCTAAGAATATGACCTTTCTAGATTCCAAATATAAGACAGGCCACGTGGTATCTGTCTTTCGGTGACTGGCTTATTTCACTTAGCATAATGTCTCCCAGGTTTATCTGTGCTGCTGCATGAGTTTATTTCTGAGCTTTTTATTCTGTTTCTTTGGTCTGTTTGTCTGTATGCCAGTGCCACACTGTTTTGAGGATTATGGCATTAGAGTATAGTTTGAAGCCAGAGAACTACAACTTTGCTTTTGCTCAGTTTCTTTGGTTATGTAGAATATTTTGTGAATCGGTATAATTGCATCTGTTTATAAATTCCAACTGATCATAGTGTATGAGCCATTAAGTATTCTTCTGAGTGTGATTTGCTAGTCTTTTGTTCAGAATTCTTGAATATGTCAGAATGCAAAAGACAGTTCATCATGGTATGTTAAGAAAGACGTACATGCAATTTTTTTCACATATTAATACTGATTTTTTATTTAAATTCAAATGCTAATGGGCACGTGATATTTAAGTTTTCAATAGCATTTAAATCCATCAAGCATTTTCAGCTGAGTGGCACTGAGATGTTCAAGCTTCATATATAGAAATACTTCCTGGGTTTCACTGTTGGCTAAAGAAGCAAGCACTGATATTCTTAATATTCTGGAGTTCACAGCCACATTCTTGACTGCCTGCTGTCAGGGCTGATGCTAGTGTAGGAAAACACCGCACAGAAGAGGCTGTAGCTGCTCACTTTCTAGTCGGCATTTACCTACAGTCTACTGCGCTAAAAGTCAAAGTTTTAACAGAAGCATGTCATAAAATATAATCCGTGTTTGGTCACTTTACCCTCGAGTTTATTATTTAGTTTTCTTAAAGCATTTGAATGCACGCAGCGGCACGTGTCTATTGAGGCAAACTGTGCTGCACTGTGCTCTCGGCACGAGGCTCCCACCTCAGCGGTCATGCCTCGGCCAGCGAGTGTAGCTCACACGTGGCCTGCGTGTGTGTGTCTGTTCACACACGAGGGCCAGAGGGGCAGGTTCCCCCAGAGGAGGAAACTGTGCTCTCTTTAGCGGGCGCATTTACAGCATGGCCTGGCCAAGTGCCCCAAACCCAAATCCCCAAAATAACGAAAATATAAGCTAATAGCTCCATCCCCCCCCCCCCATTCTGACGTAACAGCTGAGAACTAGCTCGCTGATTTTTACAGGTACACATATGGGGAAAAAAATAGGACATCAATTTAAGTATTACAAAGACATTTTTCAATAAAGCTAGACCTCTATAGACTATAAGCACACAGTTTTAGAAATGCGTATTTTTTCTCAATTTCAGACAATCTCCTAGTTGTAGGATGTTTGAGTTCCCAGAATTACAGTCGCTCGTTGGTAAAACGCTTTTGAGCAAAAATCATTGTTTAAAAACACGACTTTAAGCAACAAAGGCATCCTCTTGGGTCATCTGACGCTGAAAAGCGCCGGGGTTCTCACTTCTGCAAATGCCTGCGCAGCCCTGTGTCAGCCGCGAGGAAAGGGCAGGTCCAGGTACAACTGCGCCTGTCAGGCCGGGCGCCCCCTCTGCGCGCTGTTTGGCGGGGGGCCCCTTTTTCGCTTCCCAATGCCGCATCCCGCGTCCTCTGGGCACGGGTGGTGGCCCAGAGCGGAAGGGCGCGATCGCCCTCTTCCAGGCGACCTCCGTGGGGGGCGCCGAGCCGCCCGCTCCCCGCCGCGTCTCACGGCTCTTGTGCCCGCAGGGCTCTACACCTTCGTGCCGTGGCTGCTGAGCTTTAAGAGGGGGACGGCCCTCGAGGAGAGAGAGAACAAAATCCTGGTGAAGGAGACCGGTTACTTCTTCATCTACGGCCAGGTGGGTGCGGGCGCGGCTGCCGGAGCGGCACCTGCGGGCGCTTCTGACCGGCTCTTGGGCTCGCCCGCAGGTCCTGTACACCGACAGCACCTTCGCCATGGGGCACCTCATCCAGCGGAAGAAGGTGCACGTCTTTGGGGACGAGCTGAACCTGGTGACTCTGTTCCGATGTGTCCAGAACATGCCCGGGACCCTGCCCAACAACTCCTGTTACTCGGCGGGTGAGTGCGCGGCCTGCCGGCGCCACCAGGACCCGCGGCCGAGCGCCAGGGAACGGTCCGTGGGGCCGGCCCGCCGCCGTGGGGGGGCCTTGTCCACTCGTGGCCAGCCGCGTCTCCTCTGGTGGAGACCGCAACACCACCCCTTGGTTTTCGGTCGGCCGGGGTTCCTCCGGCGGCTCTTCGTGGCACTCAGCCGAGACGCCGGCAGGGGCAGCCAGGCCTGCGGGCCGGGCTCCACTGGGCCGGTGGACCGAGCACGGAGCCCCGCCCGGCCGCTCCGGGACGCGCTGTGCAAGTGGGAATTCTGGCTTCAAAGGCACCGCGAGCCCATGCCCAGTAAATCAGAAAGGAAGTGACGTGGTGCACAGTAACGGAGGCGGTTGTCATTCCGTCTCTTGCACCATGAGAAGCGTGAGGTGGGTGATGAGGAAGTCTGTTGAGTCGAAATTCCCTAATTTTCATACAGAAATGTTTGCCCGCGCCCCGTGGTGACCAGTATTAGCGCCACGGCATGCTTCCAAATGACGCAGCCACGCCAAGCTGTGATTCAGTGGGCTCGCCCATCCCGGAGCTTCACAGTGGGCTCCCTGGAATCTTCTCATCCTCGGGCCGCAGCAGTGTCACTTCCTGTTCGGGTGTTCTGCCAGAGATCCCTGACGCCTTCCTCTTTGCAAATAATTAACCTGACCTTAAAACTATTTCTCAGTTAATAGCTTACTACGGAATACAAGCGTCATTCTCTAGGCAATGCCAGATTTGCAATTTGTTTAAAACCACTGTAAGCCACACATCAGCGTCTAAGTACAGGAAACATTTCCACAGTAACCTGAACAAATTAAAATAGGTGTTTAAGGAAGCCAACATAATGCAAGGACCTCTCTGAGACGCAGGCCCGAGTCTGACTTACTGTGCAACTGAGCAGTCGGGTTTGCTCATTGCAGGGAAAGGTGCAGCTGATTGCAGCAATCGGAACGATAGAAATTGCCAATAATTCAGTGTGAGGGTTTGAAGCACAACTAGACCAACTTTATTTTTGGAGTTAGCATTACTTAACACCCTAGAACGAAGCCTCGTTATCCGAGCAGGAGGCTGCCTGCCATCTCCATGACGAAGGCTCTCAGGCAGTCCCCCACTCTTTACCCTCGAGGGAGCCGCTTCAGCCAGCTTAGGAAGCACAGGCACGGCCCACACAGCTGCGGGCGTGGGCCCGTGCACCGCCCCTCGGCCGTCGCAGACGCGGGCCTTCCGGACAGGGCTGCTCCCGCTCGGGGCGGCTGAGCGGCTGGCGGCGCTCCGTACCCGGGGGCTGTGTCCCAGGACCTCTGGGCGCTGCGGGCGTGCGGATGCAGCAGGTGCTCACAGACCACAGCAGGAGCGTGGCTTCCGAGCTGTGTCTGTGCCCTCAGCCAGAGCACACCACCGTGAGGAAGGCTCGCGCGCGTCACTGGTCAGTCAGAGGCTAATGGCCTTGTTCCTCTTGAGCATAAAGTCACACATGGGCACGGGAAGAAGCGTCTCCGGCGGAAGACTGTGGACACAAGCCCCGTGACCCCTACGTCAGCGCTCCACTCCAAGAAAACATGTGGACTGGAGTGCTTTGTTAGTGAGCAGTGTTCCGACTTGTACTTTTAGATAGTTTGAATTTTGTGTGTGCACATTCAACAGTATAGCGAGGGCTTCACACAGACAGACACGTGCGTCTCTGTATTTCTATGTAACATCACTATGTTTCCCTTGTTAAGAAAGCGAAGCTACTTTCAACTACATACTATTCCGCTCAGAGACGTGCTGTGCTTTTCTCTTCGACAGTCGGCTCCTGTTCAGAGCCTCCACTTATAAAAGTAGCCGAGAGCGCTTCCTTTCTGCGGTGGCGTGTTTCCTTAATTAGTTTTCCACTCTGAGGAAGAGGCCCTGGGCCAGGCGGCCTCTGGGGTAGTGCGTGGCGTGGACGCCGGAGGTAGCGTTTTCGCCAGCCGGCACCGGGTTTAGGTTCGGGCTCTTCGCCCCGGCATCCAGACACAGTTTTGACTCTCTCCCCAGGCATCGCAAGGCTGGAGGAAGGGGATGAGCTACAGCTTGCAATCCCACGCGAAGACGCTAAGATATCTCAGGATGGAGATGGCACGTTTTTCGGCGCTCTGAAGCTGCTGTGACCTGCTCACACCTCATCGCTGGCGCTTTCCCTCTGCTCCTCTGTACCTCTAAGGAGAAAACATTTAACTGGAAATACCGAAAGGGGAAAACTATGTCATTACCGTAGCCTTTGCTGAGAGCTGTTTGTGTCGGTTTGCTGGAACCAGACCAAAACAGGAAATTTGACCGGCAGCCGCAGCCAAAGGGTGTCATGTGAATTACAAGAAATAGGGCCCGTGTAGGGAATGGGCAGGCCAGGGCCTTTCCTCTCATGCCACCAGAACAGTCTGGGCACGGCTTCCGGCCGGGGAGCACAGGACTCACGGGCAGGAGTCACTTCTCCAGAGCTGGTATCGCAGCCTTTGCCTGGCGGACAGCGAGGTGCTTCCGGGGTCTCGGGTCTATGCTCTAGTTTCCGGTCAGACACCTTTCTCCCTTCTCAGTGAACGATGTGGAAAAGAAATAGTTACAGAATCGTGCACCTGGTCCGTGACAAGTCACTGAGAGTTCAAACCGATCATGTGAGATCATGAGAATCAGAGCAGGAGACGGAGAGTGTCTGAGCCCGGTTGGTCGGCGCGTGTGATTGTATCTCTGACGTTCTATCTTGGCAGTTGGAACATGCCCAGACATTTCTTCGCACGGGGGAGGTAGTTCCCTCATGGTCTCTGCTTCCAGGTAGACTTAGAGCTAACTTCAGTCACTTCAAAAAGCCTTAAAGTGAGGAATCCAGGGCAAGCCTGTGAGCATGACTGGAAGTCACGACAGCGCTTTCTGTAAAAACATCTCCAGCACCAGTTAGGAATAATCCGTTTGTAAAATGCCACCCCTTACTCCTAACCTTGTTTCTAACCGCTACGACTAGTTCCAGCCTGCGCCACGGACGCGTGTTACCAGCGTTAGAAGTGGGGGCTTCGCTTGGGTCCTCGGCGTCCTGAAACAAGCCGTTCGCCACATGGCTGGTCACAAGATGGCGATACCCAGAGGTCGGCCTCCACGTCACCCCGGAGAGCCGCAGGGTTGCAGCTTAAATATCTGCTTGTCTCTTTTTCATGTCATTAAAGACGAAAGCATGTCCTTCATCCAACCATCTATTGTATTCGTTTATACAGGACATGGGAGAAGAGACCCACAGCGATTTTCCTTAGTCTGTTTACAAAGACATACTTTTTTCAAAGAAGAAAATGATTTGTATTTTGTCTCTGCAAGTAAACTGTCAAAAACTCTGATTTTTATCATTTTGGCTTTTTTGGTTAAAATAAAATACGTTTGCAACACCTTTGGCTTCCCGATGCTGTCAAGAAGGGTGAGGAGTGGACTGGGCGCCGGTGCTGTGCTGGAGGGTGGGCCGGAGGGTGCCGACGGGGGCCCCGAGCGTGACCCGCGAGTGCTGTCAGCCTCATTTCCTGATTTTTGTGTCATGACACTTTCAGTGTCTCTCCATATTACTAAATGGCATGTTTAAAATTAGGTGCATCGTTGCAAAACGTGATAAAGAAAAACGTGCGAGGAGGTGACAATAAAATACTTGAATACTTAATGTTTGACCTGTTTCCCAACACTAGAGCTCCAGCTAGAAATTAACGGTGAGTTGAGAGGCAAGTCGGAGCGTGGTCTCTGAGTGGCAGGCGGACAGCGGGCCCAGCAGCCCCGTGGCGCCCGTCTACTTGCGGCCCTCTTCCTCCTGTTTGCGGCTGCAGAGACTTGGGGCGGCCCAGATGCTCACTCACTCAGCCACCCAGCAAGCGCACCGTCCCCCCAAACTCAGCTCCAGGCTGTCTCTTCCCTCCTTCACGCTGCTGGGGCTGAGTGGCTGCCTTTTGTCATTTAAAACCGAGATGCAAATATCTTTGAGGTCACGTTAAATATAAGAAGTGTAATTACGGGCGCCTAGTTGTCCTTTGCCAGGACTCAGCACACTGGCCAAGACGCAAACGACGCGAGGGCAGCGGCTGGTCCCTGCCGGCCGTCTGCTGCCTGCGGGCGGCGCCTTTCTCGCGGCCCAGGGCAGCGGTGCTGACCTGCGCCTTCGGCGTGTCTAGTGCCAGATGTCTTAGGAGAAACCTCCGGGGCCACTGGAGGGCAACCACTGAGTCTTTTACTGGTTAAGTTTGGTAAGAGCGGCTCACAGCCGGCCCTCGGGCTGCCTGCCGGACAGGCCTGGAGCTCGGGGCACCCTCCGCCACGCCCGGCGC